CTGTGATCATTATTTAAATATAGTCTTCGGTTCTGTCTGTGCTTCAGGATGGAGACTCCGACCTCTGTGGCCACTGCAGAAGCCATCTGCTGCTCCCTAGCTAATCCAGTTGGCCTCTACTTTCCCTCCCCCCGTTATTTTCTCTAGTGCTGCTTTGTGCTGAAGGAACATTTAGTTTACTGCACTTGATCTGTAAATGGACTTTGATTCTTTGTAATTTTAGGGGGTTAAATTTGGTGGTTAATTTAAAAACAAAAACCCCTCAATGTTGCCTTTACATCACATATAAATAACTGTGTTTCTCTTTCTTGAAGGGTGATAGAAGCACTGATGAGTAGCAAAATCTTGTTTTAGCTTTTGGATTTTTTTGTGCTGGATTTTTTTACGTGTAAATTTCCAATAACATGTCATTTCTATAAGATTTGTTTAAAATCATGTACCTCTTATTGGATGGTATAAAAATGCTACATATTTTGTAAACAAATCTGAGCAAAGTGTGTGTGTATATATTCTGTATATTCATATATGTATATTCTGTGTATATATACACTTGTGTGTATATATACATATATATATACAGACACACACCTGTATATATATACACACATGCACATGTGTGTATTTATATACATATCTATATATCTATATATATATAAGTGTTTTCCAGGCTAGTGAAAACCATGTGGTGCATTGGCGTTCCCCCTTCTTGCCCTCTCCCTGAGAAAATAATGACAATTGCCTCCAAATGAGTGAATTAAAAAGAGTCCATTTAAGCTGAATAGTGTGCCTTCCTGTGTAAGGATCTTGGCCCATGTTTGTTACTTTTGCAGTGGATATGTGAATTCAGAGCAGATAAGTATGTTGGTATGTTTGTTTGAAGTGACAGGCTTGGTTGGCACAAATAATAATGTTGTTGTCATATATACTTAGACTGTGTAAGGCATTTGACTGGTACTGCCTAGTATTTTGACTGAAAACTAAAACAATACAAAAATTAACTTGGCACACATTAAATGGATTAAAAATGTGGCTAACTCATAGGTCTCTATTTAATTTTAAATGGTCTTCCTTGAGTGTATTCCTAGCAAGATCTTCTAGCAACCAGTTCTTGGCCTTGTTTTACTTAGGATTATTGATGACTTGAAAGGTAGCAAAATCTGCCTGTAACCAAAGTTGCAAGTTAAGTGAATATGGGAGGAAGATCAGACTTGTCAAAGGACCTGCTCGATACATACTGATCAGGGCAAGCAAACTACTTGCATTTTAATAGAGCCAAATGTGTAGTGTAAGGTTACTCATTTAATAAAAATACATTCAGGCCGCAGATACAGGTCTTTGCTTTAGAGGAAAAATACCTCTGAAAAGTTGGTACTAGCATGCTAAATATTGGGAATAGCAGGTTATTTTAAAAGGTCGGAGATATTATCCAATTTGAATAATAAGGCACTTTTTATCTTAATATTAATTAACAGTCAGAGTGGCATTAGAATACCCAGTGTTACTCTATCCAAAGTGTTACTCCTCTATGTTAGAAACTTTAAAAGCAATAGTCTCTGCTTTCCTAGCAGGCATGCTGCTGTGCAAACAGGAATTAACTCAGGGGATGCTTTCATGTGTTTTAAATGATCTCTTGTTTTGTATGCAAGTAGGAAGCAGCGTAGTATAATGGTTGGAGGATAGGGCATGGAGCTGCTAGGGCTCTTGGCGTCTGTTCTTAGCTCTGCCATGCAGTGTGCAGTTCCAGAAGAGTGACTGCATGTACTTACTGCTTCCCTTATTTTGGAAATTAAAGTTAATGCATTTGGTTTTATCTGCTTTTGGAAATCCTATCTGAGCAGCTTCCAAAAGCACCCCAATCTAGTAAGATTCCTGAGAACAAGGAACTTGAGTTGTTCTTGCAGCATCAGTAATGAACTGGGACTTTTGCACTCGGCTTTAACAGAAGATGCAGGTCTCCTCGGTGGCATTATCTAGCAGTCCTGTCCACAGTCCCACAGAGCCTTTCAGTGTTTTGTGTCTCTAGGAGCAGCAGCCAGGAATTGTGATCCCTTTTTCTGGTGAAGCTCCCACTGACACGCAGCAGGTAGGGCCACTCTCTTGGGTTCAGGAGGCTGCAAGGAAGGGGGCAGAAGGTTTATGGTGGGACTCGATGATCTTGGTCTTTTCCAATCCATAATGATTCTCTGGTTACTGAAGGCTCAGTCACTGAGCCCGGGCCAGGGTTTGGGGCTCCTGGGAAGATGCCACCTACACAAACAAAATCATTTGAGGCATCTACTGGCTAGAAACTTCAGCTGTGCTCCTGTGTTGGTCCTTGATCCAAACTGAGTATAGCTGTTGATGTCCCTTCCTTAAAGGAGGGGAGTTATTAACCTAAGAAAACATTAAGTTCTTTTGAACCTGCTTTTTTTTTCTGTAACTATCAGTAATGATACTGTTGAAGAACCAAATCTCATCTTCTAGTCCTGAATGTGATGATGGTGATGCACATCTGTGTTTCCCTGATGGTTTTCAGAACAGCTTTCTTCTGGAAAGTCTGCATCTCTGTGCCAGCTTTAAGTAATTTCCTATGCCTTCCACTGAGGTTTACTTCCTTCTGGGATCAGCACTATACAACATTAATACCCTCCCATGCTAGTGTTCGCCAGGAGTTAGTACGGTCTTCCTTCAAATACCCAAGTCTTAGTAGGAAAACAAACAGACCTCTCTGTGTACACGCATGTCCACAGGGCTCTCACGTGCTCTGCTGAGGCTCAGGTTGTCCATTTTATCATTGCAGTGGGATGTATTTGTTGCCTCTTGAACATATAGAACAATAAGGCGTGTTACTCCTCTATGTTAGAAACTTTAAAAGCAATAGTCTCTGCTTTCCTAGCAGGCATGCTGCTGTGCAAACAGGAATTAACTCAGGGGATGCTTTCATGTGTTTTAAATGATCTCTTGTTTTGTATGCAAGTAGGAAGCAGCGTAGTATAATGGTTGGAGGATAGGGCATGGAGCTGCTAGGGCTCTTGGCGTCTGTTCTTAGCTCTGCCATGCAGTGTGCAGTTCCAGAAGAGTGACTGCATGTACTTACTGCTTCCCTTATTTTGGAAATTAAAGTTAATGCATTTGGTTTTATCTGCTTTTGGAAATCCTATCTGAGCAGCTTCCAAAAGCACCCCAATCTAGTAAGATTCCTGAGAACAAGGAACTTGAGTTGTTCTTGCAGCATCAGTAATGAACTGGGACTTTTGCACTCGGCTTTAACAGAAGATGCAGGGCTCCTCGGTGGCATTATCTAGCAGTCCTGTCCACAGTCCCACAGAGCAATGCAAATGTGCTTGATTGCTTCTCAGAGATGGATGGTTTTAAGCTCTGCCATTAGCAAGCATAAATTAAATCACATACAAGTTTCTCTTCATGGCAACCTGAAATACTGTCTACAGTTCATGTTCTCCTTTTTGGTCTTGTTTAAATATACACAAACACATGCACATGTTCTGGGAAGATTTTTTGATTCTCACATCCTGGGTTTACCAGTGTGATGTAAACAGAGCTGTCTTACCTGCAGTGGATTTAAACATGACTTGTACTTAAACTTAACGGATTGGAAAATCTGTGGGAGCCTATTTATTTTGAGTGACAGCATACAAAGTGATGGTGATCTTAGGGAGAAACTGGTAGCAGGTCTCAGAGACATCTAAAGGTTACAGCTCATCCATATGCGTGGTACTCACACTGTAATCAATAAAAATATGTACTGTAGGAGTTGCTTTCTATCTCTAGAGAAAATGACAAGGCCCTAGAGAAGTCTGTGCTGGATTTCTCATTGCTTTGCCAATTACAAAGGCACCTCATAGTTTTTGTAGGGCTTTTATTTTCTTAAGAGATACTGCTAACCTTTAGTAGTGACTGATGGTTCAAGCAATACTTGTCTCCTGCTATCAGAACGTTTACAAACCGCATCTGTGCAAGCATACAAGTCTCTCTAGCTTCTAGAGTCTCTAGCAAGCAGTTAGTCCTGGGAAATAACATGCTCTAGAAGTCCTGACAGTCCCCATTTATATTTTCTTCCAAAGGAGCTGAAAGGAAGAGAAAAAACACTCGTCTCCAGTTGAAGGCTGTTCAGCATGAACAGCATGCAGCTGTTCTGGGATGAATGCCAGAAAGGGGACTGTTCAGAGTAGCTCTTCACAGGTTTGGGGCTCTGCTGTTTCTAAAGCTTGAGGTACAATGTGAAATAAATAATTCTTCTTGTAGACAGGCTAATGTTATGAAAGCAAAGATGGAAACTTTAAAGGAATAAATATAAATAAATTTTAGGAAAAAAAAAAAAAGCTTAGTAGCCAAAACTAGAAATGCCTCAATCACTTTCTCACACAGTCCTGTACTTGTGAGTAATCTCTCACTTAAACAGAGTCAGAATATATTGGACTGAAAACATGCAAGCAAGCTTCCTCATAACTTCTGTTCATATTAATGCAATATTAATTATTTCTGACTCAGGGACTACCCTAATAATTGTTCTCTCTTAGCCAAGGAGGAGTACGTGCAGCCCCTTTCTTCCTGAAAGGGGCCAAAGAAGTCACATACCCAAGTCACAAGATAGCGATAGTGGGTGCCTGTCCTGTGAAAACCTTTCCCTCCCACGCCCCCCCTTTTCCTCTCATCTACTTTTACAAGTGGAAACCAAATGAATGCTTCTTTTATGTCCTAGTTATTCCAAGTGGTAAGTAAGAGCATACGACCTGGTGAAGGAAATTGGTAGCAAGAGCCCAGACATGGCTCTCATAGGCTTTAAGATAGCTGGTCTTAGGCATAAGATGTGTGGGAAACAACTATTCTGTCTATCCAGTTTGTTCTCTTGTCCTGTTCTTCTAACCTTGAGAAAGAGGGAGGTTGCCAGGAGGAAAATAATGTTTCTGTTTTTAATGGCTACAAGGTAATGTATTCATTGATTCTTGAGCACAAGCACAGAACCAGCATACAGGAAAAGTACAACTAGTATTCAGCCTCCCAGTGCTGAAAGTTATGTTGTTTCTTCCCCACTTCTTGGTTTCTTTCTTTCTTCTTCCTCTAGGGTTTAGCAGATGTACTTGGAACAGCTTCCTCTCTCCATTGTGCTTTCTTCTCCAAGTTTATGCTTGTAAGAGATTCATGCCTTTTCACAGCCTACAAAATGACAAAAGAAGAGCAGAAAGTGTTACCTGGAGGACCACAAAGATAAAACTTGAAGCAATAGTTTACAAAATATCTACCCAAATTTACTAAGGCACAGTTCTGTCAACTTTAATGCTAGGAAGAAAAGGAGTTAAAATAAACAATGCAGAAATTATTTTGAGTTAAACTCTCTACTTCTCTGGGAATACAATAAACCTTTCTTTTAATGGCACTAGCGGATGTATTCTGTGTTTCTGGACAGTATTTAATATTAATCTCTGGTCTTCAAAGGTCAGAGATACTGAAAAAAAAAATCAGAAGTTACATATAATAGAGTCCAGATGCTGTGAAAACAAAGGTCTTAAAGCAGCTCTGCCCCTAACCTCTCTTTCCACTGTTTGCTTTCATACCACTCAAACCTAAGAGGAAAATGTTCTGGGAATTGCAGTTTGATCTCTCTCCTAAAGCCAGAGAAAAAGCGATCAGCTGTTCTGCTGCAGAAAGCTGTGTCCTTTTTACTTTGATAAGAGCAATGCTGACAAGTAGAAATTTCACACTTCAACAGTTTACAATGCTGGTAATGAGACTGTAACTTGTTTTGATATAATTTCTCTAGCACACAGTCTATAAAAACAGCTAAATATTGTAACTGGAGTAGCAGCTTGGGAGAAAGGCAGCACACAAATATTGTTCTGCACATGTAGGTGTTTTATGCTAGTCGTCTACTTCCAATCGTCCTAAAAAGGACTGTGTTTCTGTAATCCTCATTTTTATTTTAAATTCAGGGTGACAATAAGCTGCACAAACTATTTCTGTGTTTCTTGACTTTGAGACTAAAGCTCAGAAGGAAAATGTTCTCAGCTTGCTATAAGATGCACAAAAAAGCCTTCCTATTTCTTCCAAATTTCTTTACAGAAGTACCAGGAAGTTAAATTTTAACTAATTCTGTTGAAAACCAATACCACTATCCTTTGCTGCAGTTCAACCTTAAACTACAAACTTACTTCATACAATGGAAATGAAACCATAGGGCTAGTCCTGCCACATACTAAATATACTGGATTTCTTGACAAATTCTATGCAAGTGAAAGATGCTCAGCATCTGCAGGACTTGGAGTTTTTCCATAAAGTGCACATCTGCAGCTTGGAGCGGGTCTGGAATGCCAGACATCAACTTCATAGAAGCTGGAACTGACTTCGTCTATTAGCTTACATGCAGTACATTTATATGATTCTAACGGTTAGTGATGTAATTACACAGGCTCCTAATTGGTAGACAATGATCTAACTAAGACCCTTACAGCCCCCCTTACTTGTTTAGCTCATCCTTTTAGTTCAACAGCTCTTTTATTCCCTCTGACCTTGGTCTACTTCCTTATCTCCTAGTTAGCAGTCCCTTTGTTCTTTCACTGAAACCTGAAGGCTGGAATTGAGCAGGCCTGCTAGGCAGCCATGTCCGCGGCTCTCTAACCATTCCTCTACATCTTCCTGATTTAACGAAAGTAGTTTGGGAAAAAGCTGCTTCTTGCAAACTACAGGAAGACAGTATTTTCTAATGCAGTTTAAGGGCGCTGAATTATTATGGACCCTTTCCCCATGGTTTAAAAAGACTGAGACTTCTCAATCCATTTGTAGGAAACATGACCATTTGCCATTTTCATTACATTGATTCTATGAATGTTGCAGTACATACATGAAGAGGCATTTGGGATAGTTTCATACAATGAATTGTGTGGATTCCATTGGCCCAAAGAACATTTATTGCCTACTAGGTACTCATAACAGGAAGGTCTCTTTGCAAGTCTATCAGTAAAATCAAGTTGTGCAAGATAAAACTAAATATGACAAAAAACCCCTACTTTTAAAGGAACCATACAAGTCATAGAGCACTATGACCTTTTTCTGACCTGTGAATTAATCAGCAAGAGTCACTTTTGAAAGAGTAGGACTCATTTTAATTTTTGCTTAATGATATAATGAAAAAAGACCCCACCAGTATTAACTACTAATCCAAAGGATGAGCTGAGGAGTTTGTAAAGATCTATTTCCACTCATAATGCCAAATTCTGCTTACCTGCTTCCCTCTAATCACCATGACCACACAGCCCAGGATTGTCAAGGCAATCATTACATAGCTGAACTTCACACGCAAGGTGGTCTTTGCTGCTCTGATTGTTTCAATCCTCAAGAAAAAAAAAAAAAAAGGAGAAAAAGGAGAGAGAGAGAAACCAACAATAACTTATTATCAAGGATCCAAAGCAACTGTTGGCTGGCCCTTTGATTTCTGCTAGCATGCGAGCTAGGTAATCTTGTGTAGTAACAGTCCTTGGCTTTTTTCACTAAAAATTAAAAAAGGCTTTAGAAGGATGGGAAGTCTCATCCCAGCTTCCTTGGGAGATACTTAATCAAAGTAATAAAATAAGTTCCTGCTAAGGTTGGAAACACAGGAAACATTTTTAATTTTCAGTTATTTAATGGTCAGAGAGCTTCCTAGATCACTTAAATACTGAAGGCTTCTTGCCTTGCAGTCAAATTATTTTTATTACTCATGTTGACTAGTGGTGGGCTACAAAAAGAAAAGGATGCTCTTACTAATATGATATTTTTCTTATTACTAGCACCTTTCTCCCTTCTGTGCTCACCTCCACTTTCTAACATCTGGAAAGGCAACAAGTAACCAATTCCTGTTTGAACTAGAATATACTTCAACATTTTTTAGAAC